TCGTAGAAAAGGAAACAAATGGTTTGGAAATAGAATTGCTCTCACATCACACTGCCTCCATGTCACTAGGCGCAACTCCCGCTTCTAAGCATGCTGCTTAGACACCAAAACGCAAACGTCAACCACCAGAACAGCAACAAACAAAAACAACAAAGGCTGAGGATGTGTATAGAAGCATTACTATCGGGTACTATGAGATATGGGTTGGACGTAGTAGACATGTTATTTACGGTGCACATTCTACATCTCAGCCACATTCCAGCATTTCCGCAGTTCTCCATAGGGTTTGGGAAAACGGAATAAAGCCTCCCAACCCAGAACCACTCATTCCGAGGCCCGAAAATCACCCCAGCTTTGGACCAGGCTGATGGAAACGCCTCCGAACCCACAAACCCACCAAAGGTAAAGAGAAAACAACACAACATAGAAGAACCAACAAACCAACACACCGAGAAACCACATCGTCCACATCTTCGTCATCCGGTCACCAAGGTACCGCCCATCATGAAGGCCAGGATCGCACTGATGAAGGCGCCCATGCTGACCGGTAGGCACTGGCAGAATGGAAAAGAACGAAGCGGCATCAGTGGGAAGGTGACTTTGGGGCGTCAGTGGGAAGGGTTGCCAAGGTGCTTCATGGCACAACGCATGCCACAGCAAAAAGAAACAAACACCTTGCTGTGGATGGCATCAAATGGTTACCAATCTCTAAGCGATTGTGGCACTTTCCGGCACCATCATCAATCATCCTGGCACTCGCAACTGAGGCACTGAGGCCAAGGACATGTCCTTCAAACGACCTTTGAATGCTCACCTTTTGAATGTTTCTGAGTCCCTTTGAACTGTGACGATCCGCGAAGCAAGCGACATGAAGATCCGCATGACGGCATGTGTCTACGCCTCCCTTCCACCAATGAGGAGGGCCCCGTTTGGACACTGGCAACTCTTACAAATTCTTGGGGACGGATGCCAACGATTGGCGAACACTTCCTGAATTTATAGAGATCTCTGTGACACATTGGGGAAAACAACTTCTGGGCCGTTCCAAAACTATCTCCCCGAGTTCTCCCAAAGGTCCCTGAACAAGTGATGTGACTGAACCTCCTAACAGGGCTCAGTACTGTCTTCCGACACTGAGAATCCAAACACAAGAGATGGCGTAGCCCCAGCCGGAGGCGACATAGGCTACCAGAATGAAGGGCACGATGTAGATGAGGAACCTCATGCAAGAGACTCTCATCACGGGATCTTGCAATCTGAAAAGGTGGCCTCAAGCAAACAAAGTGATCATTCACAGAGCACTGGCTAAAGCAGCTAACTCCTGTGTGCATGAAGTCGTTTCTTGAGTTGAAAGGCATGCATGGACCTGGGACCCTTAAGCCTGTCAAACAGTTTGACAAGTTGTCATAAGCCTCCACCCGTACTCGCATGCCTACTCGCGGGTCTGTTGAACATTGACCCACCAGTCTGAAATGTGGTGTCCGCACATGGGAACACGTGGAAATGCAAACAAACACCACGTGTCGCTTGTGTGCGCGCGGTGAAACTGATATCGGGAAGAAGTTGGTGTGCTTCTGCTGCATCGGCTACGAAGTGTTGGACAAAGTTCTGCTCCGCTTGGGATACCCTGACAAGAAGGTGGAACAAACAATATGAAAACGAATGGAGCTGAGGATTCCAAGTGTTCTCTGGTGGCTTACTAAGTGCTGCAGGATTCCGTCCCTATCATCGTTTGAAAGTCGTGTTCTACAGAAGATTGATCATCCATGGTCATCCCTAAGGCACGGAATTTGAACGCCCATGTCCGAAACGTTGTAAGAACATACACTCACACTCACACGATTTATTGTTTTGGATTTTGGTATATACAAAATATATGTGTGTGATTGTGTGTGTGTGTCACCAAATAGATCGAGATTTCGGTGCATCCATCGACCCATATCCCTTAAAACGTCTGCAAACCTCAACACCGGACGTTCTCTGCTCTTCTCAGCTTCCAGCGTCAGGATCGGCTGGGTCTCAGCTAAGGGAGCACCACAAAAAAACGTGTTTCACGTGAAGGGAGGACCCGGGATGAATCAAAACACCGATGTGCAATGGAACAAAAAGGAATCCATTTTGTGACATCACAAAATGTGGGAATGACAAAATGGAATAAAACCCTGCAGGTTGGGCCAACTTACCAGTCCCCCCCTCAAACGATCCAAAAGGAGCACTTCTCAATCCAAAGACCTGGCGGACTTCTGTCCCGAATACAATTTTGGTGCAACTGTGGAGGCTTTGCCCTACTAAATTAAAATCAATCGACCAACAATATTTTTTCTGTTGGGAGAACTGCCAGCAAGGCAACATTGGTTCAATCACGCAGGTGGTGTCCGCGGGGGAAGCAAACCTCTCATACAAAAGAAACATTGGTCTTTGCATGTTCCAGCAGTTGGTTCAAATCCGACAAACTGAGTCTGGCAAGGGAAGCGTCATGGTTGGAAAACACAAGCAATAGTCAACAATGAGTCAGTTGTGACATATTTTGACAATGTTCATGCTCATATCATCTCATATCGTTCTTTTCTCTCCTCTCCCGATCAATCTCCCTCTCAGTCTACACAGATGTTGGCCTTACATGGTCTTAAGTCTCAAAGGCTAGACTTCCGTGTTGATTTCCAAGTACATCTGGGAACTCACCCGGAAAGATGTGAGAGGTGGGGCCCTGGATTAACTGCACCGCCTCGTCCTCTGCTCCTTGGAACTCGGTTTCTGCCTTTCGTTGGGCGAGCGGCAATGACGTAGTACACAAGCACAAAGAAGAAGGTCCTAAGGATTGAACACGAAACATCACGCACATGCCCAAGCAGCTTGGTCTTTAAAATGTGCCCGGCTCTTCCAAAGGATGTAATTATCGAGCAACCTATATATAGCTAAAGCCATGTTAAACAAATGTACAACCCCACTTAGGGTCCACTGGGCGTATTGACCAACAGTTACAGTACATCGCACACCAATCCATGACTACCTATACATATATATATATATGAATCCGTTTGGGTGCCATGTGGCGTCAATCGCACGATCTTGCATGTGTGTCACACGCGCAGCAACTTGGGTAGCGGCAAAAGGAGCCAATCAAGAGTGTTCACCTTGCAACAAGTCGATTGGATAAATTGAACATAGCGTGACGTTCGAGGATCTCCTTCATCATTCCCACATAGCTAGGATATCCTCGGATACATGCTATCCAGGAACTACAGTAGTGGTCATAACTGATCATGATCCTGTATTGTCCCAACTTTTTCTCGTAGCAGGCTGACTCAACAACATTCGTGACTCAACCAGCACGGCAGAAACGCAGTGTAGAACCCTATTTTTTGTTTAAAGGCCCTTCCCAAAACCTCATCAGTCGACCCCACACGTCTCGATGGACTCACTGCGGGCTATATTCTCTTGCCCTCGGCGGTAGTGTAGCGGTTTCTCCGGGGATCCCAAACAAACAAAACCAAGAAACGCATGAAAGGATGGACAGGAATGTTGATGAAAGTAGTGAGACAGGACATGGGACAGTCACTGAACTTAATGTCCATCTGTTGTGGAATCAGCTGTTTGATGGTTGACGATCCGCGCGGGGATACTGGGAACAGAGCTTCGCTCAGGATCTCACCAAAGCACGGCCCACGAGAAAGGCGCTGCGATTCAAGCCATGACTTGCTTCTCGCCAGTACCTGGTGGCAAACGGCAGAAAGCCACAAGCTTGGTCACCTTCTTTTTAAGGTCTGTCATTTGTTCGGCAGCAGCGAGCGAGTTACCAGGCCTCAAAAACAGTAGTTACTATCTTGGAAAAACCAACGAAAGAAGCTCTCTCACTTGGAGTCACAACATAGAAACTCTTTCTGGCACTCTTGTGTAGGCACGACCCTAAATATGCGGCCAGGTAGTCCCGCAAAATGTTGAGAGTGGGTATTCTCGTGCTTTTGTTGATACCGTATAAACGTCTATATAGTCGAGTCTAAGTCTGTCAAAGATTCAAAATCTGGATACACATACCTCTTGCCATTTGGTACAGGATCTTGAAAGATTCATGCTGGATATACTTGCCCTATCTTCAGTACGCCAGTATGCATCTAGGTGTGTGGCATTTTCCAGCATTATCTCCTGTGCTGCTCTTGGGCGTGCATCGCTTGATCGTTGCTGAAGAGTTGGAGGCTGTAGACCGACACCAAGAGCCTCAAACAGCACAGGTCTTTCGCGCCGTCAGGGAGGTGGTGAAAAAGAGTTTTGCACCGGCACAACACCAAAAGACTACTATCCTTTTTCGTGTTGTTGGATCCTTTGGTGCTGACATCGGCTTTTGGTGTGATATGGAGGCATTCTCGTCGGACCGTGGAAGAGATACCTGTCGGCTGAGCTTACCTCTGTGTACCTGTGGTGATCTGAGGTGATGAACCATGAATGATATGAAAAGAAATATATACAGTATACAATATATATATATATATAGAGAGAGAGAATAGATAGAAAAGTAGATCCCCACTAAAAATGTATTGGAAATCGTGCCACTACAGCATCTATTTGGGGATTACTATACTGTATATTATATATATACACATAAACTCTTGATTTATAAAATGAACTGAAGAACCTCTTCATACAGAGGGTGGGGTTAATCAAGAGTCTACATGATGCAGCACACATGCTCAGCATCCAACAATCAAACGATATTATCCTCCCTTCTGATGGTCATTCCTTGCAATCAGGCCCACACCATGAAGTCAGTCCTTTTGTATCCTTTTGTGCTCAGATAAAACCAAACGAGACTCTCCACACGCTGTCAAAACCACGCCGCCGCAGCCGGGTTCCCCGTGCGCGAGTGCAATCTGGGCATTGAGGAAGGTCGTGGGCATCCAAGGCGGAGACTTGAAGATAAAGCGATCGAAGAAAGCTGGCCGTCCGATCGAAGGTCGTGCGCGGACGGGGTGGGCGTGATGTCTTGGTAGGTGTCATGGTGAGCGTGTGTGTCATGGTGAAGCCCCAACATCCTATTTTGGCGGCTGAGGGCCAAAATTCCCCCATCTGTCTATGGTCACTGACCTAATCAAAGAACATGCACAGTGCCTAAGAAGCATGCGGCGAAGGTCATGACCAGCAAAAATAAGGTCTTCATATCCTTAGCAAATCGAAATGCTGGAGTGGTGATCACTCCCCACTCGCGAGATACCCTGTCTGACATGGGGCCACGAGTCCGTGACTCTGTGGGGCACCACATCAAATCTTCGAATCATTTCGAATCTATATAGGGGATGGTTACCAGACCCCCCCCGACTCAAAGACCCTAGGAATAGTTTGACATGTTATAAGAAGTTTGTGTATGGATACACAGGAAGACCGTCCGCCGGGCGTTCCGACCCCCTGGCAGGTTCGGGCACCGAAGTCTTGGACCAGTCTACGGTGACCCAGCGACCCAGCGACCGGGTTGAGATCTCGGGGGCCGTGTTCCTAGTAGCGATGCACTTGTTCCTAGTAGCAAACATTGTTACTACTAGTAAGGCACTTGTTCCTAGTAGCGTGGCACTTGTTCCTAGTAGCGTTCTTGTTACTACTAGTAAGGCACTTGCTCCCGCTCGGATGACTTGCGGATCAAGTTCAGGTGAGGCTTGATCTTCCCGAAGGCGCCACCGGGTGCGGAACCACTGAGGCTTCGGGGTGCCGAAGAAGCGGTGAAGGGGTGCCTTGGGTTCTTGAGGCTCCGGACCATGCTGCGCCAGAAGGACAACATGGACCTGAGAAGCAAAAGCCGTAGATTGAATAGATCTTAGTACAGAAACCATGGAATCCATGGCCAAAATAAAATTTTCTGTAGACATATCATGACAAATCTAGACTTCCCTGCACTTCTCAAAAAAAGTTCCACATCTAGCTTGACCGTCATGACCTTGATAGGGAAACTTGCCAGAATCTCGGTTGAGGTCTACAATTCAGGAAAGGGCTTTTTGTCAGATCAGGAAGCTTCCCGACGTCTGAGAAAGATTGACTGGATGGCTCTCAAGAATTTACAACCTACTTTGGTCTTCATTGCAGGGTCCGCGCATTGACCCGCACACAAGCCACCCAGAAGAAAAGTTCAGTAGATGCCCCTCTGCATATGCACTGGACTTGACCCAAGACCTCTGGTAGAAAAACCACTTGAGAAACTCACTTCTTCTTGCCTCAAAAGGTTGGCTTCTCCAAACATGAACAAACCTGTGCAAACATTGCAGACTTTCAAGAGGCTCCGGACATGGATTGCTGAACTGTTTTCAAGATCTGACGTGTGCAAACGAGGTCCCGTGGGACCCAAACTCTTCTCCGACCCGAGAGGAGAACGGAAGATCCTGGGTCCAAAGGAGTTTCGTATGGGAAATGGGTCCTGTTTGTGATTAATGCAACATCCCTTCCTTTTGATGGGCTACTTTTGGCTGAGGTGTGGGCTGCCGCAATGTGCAACTCAGGTGAGTGCAGAACCTCGCACGCGGCGTGGGCGCCCTGTGAAAAGGTGTTGGGCGTGCCAGTGGCGAGTAACTACATGTGTTGATTTACTTCATGTCGCTAAAGACAACACCCAGGTGGGTCAGTCTGCCAAACCTGAACACCCATCCCACTAATCACCATTGGTAGGTAACCAGCTCGAACATGTTCGAACAAGCCAATAGTATACAATATGTAGTGTGTGTATATATATATATATGTGTCTATATCAGTACAGTTATATATATATAACTGTATAAATCATTGGTGCCTCAGTGACCATCCGTGTGCTGGAGTCACACTCCCTCCTCTCCTGGGCACTCCGCACCCGGCTTGCTTCCGGACCAGGTCGTCGAGGTCTGACGGTCGCAGCGACGGAGACGCGAGGGCTGCGGCTTATTCGTCGATGGACTCGGCTGAACCAGACCGGACATGGGGGGTTCCCTGCTGTCTGCAGGTTGGACAACGGACGATTTTGACATAGGGTGTACAACCAGACTGAAACCAGCAGCAGAGTACAGCATGATGTGTGTTTTCCTTTTCGTTTTAAGGGCTCCTCTTGTCTCTCACGGCTTTCCAGCTTCATCAAAGAGGTCCGCCAAAACAATTAGAAACGATGTCATATCTAATACAAAGTGCAACATAACCTGCTCAGATCTAGTTCTGCATGTTCTCGACTTTTGCACATTGCAGCCAAGTGGCTGGCGGTGCCTTTTCTCGACTCAAGGGAACATATCCCTCGCAGGGACACCTGCACGCCATCATCTTCAGAGGTTTCCTCGCGTCGTGAAATGACATGGACAGAGATCCAAAATGTATCATTGCCACGCGATGGTCGCCCACACCAAATGAGAAGCTCCTAATAAAGTCTATAGCGGTCCCTAAATAGATAGAAACGGAGTCCAATACATGTTGAAAGAGATTTTACATTTTCTATCTCTTTGGGGGGCCACTAGAATAAATAAGTGAAGTGTTCCGTGTGTCTTTTTGTTTGTGCTACCAGTTGGTTCGATCAGGGGAGATTGTTTTGGGGGGTAGAATGTGGTCCCGTCTGGCCATGTCATGGAAGCTTTTCCAAGCAGCATAAGCAGCACTTCCAATCCAGAAATCACCCCACTGTTGGACTACTGACCACTTCCTATCAACAGGAAGAAAGAAGGGCTATGCCCTTCTTTAGGCAGGCATATGGTCTATCTGTACAGGTTGCAACCAGGAACTTGTTGCCGGGCTTGAAAGTGGATGCTCTCTGATACGCTCGTTACACAGGCAACTGCGAGGAAAGGGTCAGCAAGCGCGAACGCTACGCCGGTTCTCGACCTAATTTGTCATCACTGATCTTGGGGTTGCTCCAATCCTAGTGGTTGTCGTGTTGTCGTTGATATCGCATGGGGAGCGGTCGCTAAGAACGACATGGGGTAAACCAGATCAGTTGAGGAGTTTAAATGATGCAGCGACCGGTGCGACTCAACACCAAAAGGTTTGCTATCGGCAGTTCCTCCTCCTGCTGCTGGTCATCGTCACTGCTGCTGGACTCTTCATCCACAGCACCACTGCCAGCTAGTAATCCTCGGCTCTTCTCCCTTGCTCCACACCTCTCACTCACGCACGCACTAGCATGCACAGCGTGAAGAACGATGTTCCACGTAGCCATGGGCCATGTTCTTCAGTAAACTGAACTGGGTGGCGATCAGCTTCTGAACAACCTCCAAACTCCCAGAGCATGCTAAACATGTGCATATATACAATGTATACAACTACAATAGTGTACACAGACTGTATACATATAATATAATTATGTAAGTACAATTGAATATACTGTTATACTGTACTTCGAGTCATCTACAGTTGGAAGAAGGAAGGGCTGCATGCATTGACATCCTGACACATGTGCTGGCACTGACATCGACTTCCGAAAACCAAAAAGACCATAAAAGACCTGCTGGCACCTTTTGTTCTTCTTTCTTCGGTTTTTTTTCCAATACCTATAGTAGACCTGTCTTCTTTCTGATGAAGGCATTATATCACCTCGACTGGGCCGCCCTGCGGGAGTTGTCCGCGTTGGGCGACGCGTAGGCCTTCGTGAGTCCGGTGGGGTCAGTCGTCGTTCTGTTCGTTCGTTCTTGGAGGATCGTGTTTCAGAAGTCCCCAACAAAGGACCAAGCTTCGCAAAGCTGAAGCATCTGAAGCTCAAAAAGATCAGTGATTCAGTACCATGCATGTTGGATCTGTCATCGTTTTCCCAAGGAAAACTGGTGGAAAAAAGGTGCAGCCTTCCTTTCACAGATGATGCTGGCGGTGCTGGAACGGTAAGGCCGGATCGGTCTCTTTGTGCCAAGTGGCTGCAGGATTGAGGCCCCCAAAGGTGATCATGTAGCGAATGAAGGCACGCCTCGCGAAGGATGCTGGACCCTGACCAACACGCCGCGCCTTGCTGCTAGGACGGTCCAAGCTAGAAGGAGCTAGAAAGTGCGACATCGTGCCTGAAAAAGACATGTGTCCAAGTGTCCATCGTCTTCTGTCGCAGTTGGCCAGTTCTCAGTCCCAAAAGTGTTGCACATTGTGGTCCGATTCTAGGCGGTGTATGTTCCTCTTCCTTGGAAAGGGCTGCTCTTGGTGGCTTTCGTGTGTTGCATCGGGTCCATTTGCTTTAGGATGCTTTAGGTCTGCACCCCTCCGTGGGTCCGGTCCAGTGGTCAAAAGGAACCTTGGGACCCGCTGAGTTCTGGGCTGATTCACCCTCAAACTGGCCGGCGACGAGGAGTTCAGAGCGCCGCCCTGGCGCTCTCTGGCGCTCTCTGCGTTCGGCTTTTTGGACCAGATTCGATGCGGTTCTCGGATGGTTTGTGCTCTCGGTGCCCTGAAAATGCATGGGATTCGGCCCAAAAGAGGAACGCAAGAATTGGTCAGATCTGCAAATGTCGTATGATTTTGCTTCATGTCAGGTGGATTTAGAATCCTTTCATTTCGGAGACCGTGGAAATTTGGGAACCCCCGAAGGTGTCCAAAAGGGCTCAAGAGAACTCCAGTGGAACGTCATGCAAGTGGAAAGAGGAAAGCAAAAAGGGAATCAAGAAATTAGAACACATGTCTGTGGCCTGTAACGCCCCTCGGTGGAATGCGTTGCGCACTCGGTAGAATCCTGGACTCTTGGATATGCTATAGGTCGACCGGTTTGTTGGAGAAGGTTGGGTACGTGTACCAGACATGGGATTCGAAAAAACTCCTGCCTCTTTCTTGGTGTACAATAAAGATTGGCACAGGGGTACAGGGGTCCATACATGACTGGCCTTGCAAACACATGAGCAACATTGTGCACCTCCTCCAAAAAGAGCTACCAGCACTCAGAACCAGCTTAGAACCACTCTCGGTGTACCAACCTTTGAAGCTCTTGGTGTGCCAGCCAAATGACAATCAATGCAATCAAAGGCGCATTGATATTGATGTAGGCCACACTAGATCTTCCCATGTCCACCTGCCTCACACGCCTCATACGGCGGTAGTAGTGGCGTGGCGCTTCATTGAAGAGAGGTCTCCAATGGAAATCAAGCACGAATTCTACTGTTTGCCATGCATGCCTTCCTGAATGCCTCTATTCCTTTCTGGATAGTTGGGATATGTTGGGATATCCAAACAGCCATGCTTTGAGAGCAAATCTGAATCTACTGCAGCTAGATGCCATGCCAAATGGCAGGAACTCTTCTTTTGCAGCTGCATTGGCTGTGCCAGTCCCAACAAACAAGATTGCAAAGATTTGCAAAGTCTGCAAACTTATCTAGATATACTCTAGACTCTATACAAGCACACTTTGGATCAAGTAGTTGCCGGTTCTTCTTTTGTGCCCAATGTAAAGATTTTCACACCTTCCGTGTCCACGGTCGCAAGAAAACGATCTGAAGAATTCCTGGCCAATGCAGAAAACCCATGGTGGATCCCACCCAATTGCTCAACAATTTCTCCCGTCAACCCTAGCGGTGTTCAAAACCTCCTTGTTTCACCACATGGAGAAAAAAAGAAAACATGAGAAAATGACTCTTGCGTGGGGAAAGGCAACATCATCAAGCTGACCGCCCGGATTCACTTCGATCATCTGCACCTTTGTCAACTTCTCGTCCCCGCGAACAAGCTCCAACTTCTCACCGCTGGTCACCACATGGCTTTCTAAATGGCCTGGGAGGCCTTCGCGGCCCTGGCGCTTTTCGTAGATGATGGTCTGTTCGTCAGCAAGGACCACAAGTGCTTCTCCCTCATAAAGGCCAAATTCCATGTCGTGGAGCTTCACGGCTTGCTCCAGCTTGAATTTCTCTTCTCCTGAGCCTTCTTTGAGGACAAAGACCCGCGCGTCATCCCTATGGGCCACGAAAAACTTACCGCTCTTCATGACACGTGCTCCGTTGGGCTTCATCTCATGGGTATAAGTCCCGACTCCCTTGGGGGGGCCCCACCACTGTTCACGTGTGTTTGATGACACATTACAAAACACACCACATGAGTCGGACATGACCATCACGGTCTTGGTGTTCCACCAGTGCAGACCAGCCTTGCCTTTGTAGTTCCCATTGATACTTTCCGTGCAGACTTCGGTACCCTCCACAGTCATCACAACCAACTTTCTTTCACCATTACCCGAAGAGAAGGCGATGTGCTTGCAATCAGGACTGAAACTCATGTTGTTGATATCCACCGAAGTCTTCATAGTCTTGCTGACCTCCGAACCGCCGGCATTGAAGATGTGCAACTGGTATCCGTTGGCAAGCGGCAAGCGCGTACATCTTGCCATCGCCACTTGCTGCTACTCGAGGGTCGATGTCATCCTTGGAAACTACAGAGGCTAACAGCGTCACTTCCTTACTCTTCACGTCATAGGCTGGTTTGTACCACGGATCTTCCTCACGTGTTCGAGCTCCCTCTTCTTGGACCTTCTCCCAAAAAAGCGAGAGGCACTTCTCATCGTTCAGCCATGCTATCTCCCTGACTTTCTCTTTTTCAAAGACCTTCGTCGAGCTTCCGCAAGGGCGGTGGTGGGGACACGGAAGCACCACAGCCCATGCCTCAAGGACTTGCCTTTTTGGCCCTTGGATTTGAAATATGTCTTGAAATTTGAGCCGTGGAAGCTTTGGAGTCACAAGATCTCTGCAAATCCCACGGATCTGTGGCGACCTGCTTTTGGTCGGCCCCCTTTCGGAAAGCGGGACCGAACGATCTGAGACGGACACCCCAAACGGATCCGATCTGATGCCGCCAAATGGCTTCATGACCTCCAAAGTGACCTCCTCCGACGGTGTCACCCTGAGAGTCGAAAACGTGGATGAGGTGACTGGAAGTCAGGGAGAGGCTAGTCACTAGTGACATCTACTAGTCTAGGATAGGAACCTCACTTTTTTCAGTTGTTGATCGGTCTCCCAAACATGGCCCATGTTGATCCACACCTTCAATGTGTTGCTTCGAGGGTGTTGCTTTGCTGCGTTCAGTTCCATGTTCAAGGGTCCCTGCACCGAACATCTGCACCGCCACATCTGGCGATCGATCCGCGGATCGATCAGCGCGGCATGCTGTCCCTCAAGCATCTTGCGAGCAAGCGAGATCTGAGGCTTCCAGACCCAGTACATGCTTTCAAGACCTGATGGCGGATTGGACAAAGTCTCGATTGTTTTTCGATTCTCAGGATTCAGCCAGGCTGAAGGGATTCAAGGGGTGAGGCACAATGGAGTTGTCTTAACAACCGACCCCAATGGTTCAACTTCATATTGGCTCATTCATGCTCATTCAACCGACCCTCATCCGCCCAGAGGGTTGCATGAGCCAAGCATACTCTCGGAGTTGGCCGCAAGTCTGGCATCCACAGCTGGCCAGACTTGAGCGTTCTGTGCGGGGTGCAAGATCAAACATATTGGGCGTGTATCAAAATAGTGAGTGAGACTTCCAAGAGACACCCGGGAAGAAGGAAAATAGACCAAACCCATTGGTCGGGATTGTGATCAAGTGGATTTACAGTGTTGTACCTGCATGTTTCCATCACACTGGAACCCTCGCTGCTCTTCGATGCACGTCCTGGGATACAAGCGGTGTATTGGTGGATTTCAATGCAGGCCCAAGCTGGCTTACCACAGTTATCGAAAATGTGACCCACCGGATGGGAACTTACACATTCTCACACGCAGTTGGCCGCCGGCTTCGAAAGCTCTTGGCGGTGCCTAGTTGTTTAAGTTTGTGAGTGACCCTCACGACAACCGGGGGGTCTTAGTGGCACCTAATAATACCTAATACAGGTGTTCATCAAGCCGCTAAACCCATTAGTTGGGGAGTCCCCCTATTAAAATACACATATGTTGCAGCCTGCATCCAAACGGGCCCCACAAGAAGCCGATTGAATCGCCTTCGAGAACGTTTTCTCTCGTGTTCCCCCCCGGCATCTCTCATTGGGCTTGACGTGTCAGGTCCAACGGAGCGACGGACATGCTTCCGACATGCGAAAGACCGTGTTCTTTCGATGCGAACACATGTCTTGAGAACATGTCTTGAGACATGCCTTGAGACGTGCCTTGAGACATGCTTCCAACATGTCAAGGCCTCCCCGGAGAACTTCTCCTTCCTCATCCTTCCTCACGGAGTCGGAGAACGTCCGTGCTTGAGAACACGCCGAAGCCCGGTGGTCGACAGGGCACGAAGCGCCCGTCAGGTCCCCCGTCGGCATGGCTTTGGTGGCCCGGCTTTGGCAAAGTGTTCCATCTCCACGGTGGCGTTTTGGCTACAGACCTCCGACCAAGCGTCCTGTGGGCTCTGAATCAGCACATGTCATTCACAGAAGGCAGGTATCCATATGATGACAACATCAATAACTGTAATAGTAATTATGGGTATATATAAATGCTTACAGTATAAATGTATATAAGTTGTGGTGCTTCATGAGCACAAATAAAAACGTCGTCGTGCTGCTAGACGGAGAGCCATAAGCCTAAAGTGGCCTGACTTGCGCAACAGGAAATTGGCGACAAATCCAGGAAAGGCCCAGTCCTTGAGATGCTGCTTGATAGAATTTGCATCATCGTCAGCACTTGTGGAAGCCAATCGTCCTGGCAGTGTCAGAACCATTTTGTTCTACATCAACCCTTTCCAAGTGGTCGAAAAACAAAGAAGCAGCCAAAAACACGCTCCCTCTGGCGCTCACACTTATCTGCTCAAAAACGTGGTGCCTGGGGGTCCTGCACAGGCTCCTTGTTGGGGGTCAATGGGTTCAGCGTCGCTGTGTAGCATCGTCCAGCAGAACACCCTGCCTTGATTTGTATGATCTTTTTTCGGGCGGGACAATTCTTGCTGCGCTGGTCGTCGTATCTACCCGTCCAACCACAGACCTGCGCTGGGCAAAGCCCAGAAACTGGATCTGGACCAGGCAGCAAGTGCGACTTTGCACCACGATGATTTTGGGCGTGCCTTTTTTTCAAGTATACTGTACTGTATATATGACATACCTTTTCAACATCTGCCCCAAAGGCTCCGAGTCAACAGGCAACCCGTTCGCCGGGGTTTTGACCCTCAAAACTCGGGTGTTTGGACTGAAGCGGCAACATGTAGCACCTCCTTCGGGGCCGAACGGATCACCTCGGCTTCTCTTTGCCGTCAATCACGAACGCCGGCTCGCGTTCACGCGTGCACTTCAAGAAACGAACGCCGGCCGCTTGAAAAAGAAACCTCGCGCCTAGGGTCTGCATGGTGCGACCTGGATTGGGATTGGACTTCCACCTCAGCGGAGCAAGTGAAGGGGAGGCTGCGGGAAGGGGGAAGCTGCGGGGTGGGGGTCACCCGAAGGTCACAGTTACACCGGCTACAGAGGGATTCAATCATTGGATTGTTCTACAGGAACATCTACAGCAAACCTTCTGTTGCGGGGAAAATCATTGGAAAGTCCACGATTTGACTGAAATTCACTGACAATCCAATTCCTCCAATGGCATTCAAGACTGTCAATTTGTTTTTTTCGTTGACTCATTCGATTCCTCAGAGGTCTCCACTGCTGAAACAGCACAGCTGGAAGATCCGTCTTGGGTATCCTGAGCCACGCATAGGAAAATCAACAACGTTTCTAAACATACAGGAACATCTGTTCCGTGATGAATCCTGATGTGGATGTTGCATCTGTCGATTGATGGCTGAAGCGTATTGTCGGTGATGTAATGTCTGTCAGCAGTGCACTAACGCGTACGAACAGTATCTAACAATCGGACACAAATTTCACCAGTAAACTAGTTGCTGGTCCATAAATCACACCACAGGAGGCAAAACCTCTCCAGAAGATCCCACTTCGCACTAAGCTTGTACAACAGTGCCATACCACAACGCATTCGAAGTTCTAAGTTGTAGTCCCCCTTCACCGGACCTCCAAAAACCAAGCGCCAACCCCACTCTGCCATTGAAATCTGCACTTCCAACCTGGAAACCTGAGAAAGGGGGAACGAAAGCCAGGACAAACACGCAGGGAACATGTTCCGCGTGCGGCAGTGGTCGCATGGAGATGGCTGATGGCTGGGTCAGCTCTTATTATGTACATTGTTCTTGCAACCATGTTCAGTAAGCTGCTGCAACTCTTCCTGGTCAGACAACCTTCACTGCTGTGGTTGATATGGTTGCCCAAGGCCCTGGTCTTCCTTTTTGGGTGTCCTATTCGGACTGCTGTCCCCACTACTGCCGGCATGTGGCCTTTGTTGTTGGGTCATTGGAGGAACAGGCAAGTGACGGAGACGCGTGGGTTAGGAAAGGAGGCTTCCTTGGAGGTACTCCGCGCTAAACACATGGAACCGGTTTTCTTCGGGAATAGATGCAGACGAGCAGTAGCCACAGGCCAGTCTGCCGCCCCTGTACCTTATATTTTTGGGGGGGTATTACCGGGGCGGGGCCTGGGTAGGATCTGTAACCTATAGGTGATCCGACCCAAAGATAGTCAGATGAAATGACTACTACCAGGCATGATATATATATTTCTGCCATGTTGAAATCTCAAAACAAGGTACTGAAGCTGAAAGCAATGGTCGGGGACTCATAGCTCAGCAAGTGGCTGGTACGAGGCATGTTCTATAAATGGACATGTACATAGTCACGTAACTGTTTAACTCTTTCGGCCATGTTCATGTCAATAAACATGTGTACTACTGTCGGCTAGTTATGATGCTATAAATCAAAATCACCTCCATGGAAATCACTTTTTCACCGTCTCCCCCCCCAACACCCCCTAATAACGAACTTCGTTCGCAGGACTAACTTCAGCCTAGCCTATCGGCTGGCTTTCGTAAAATGTACTTAACTTGAAGTCTGTTGTGATTTGACCCGCGATCCAGTCCCGAAGCTGTCAGAACTAGCTGCCAGCACGCCACGTGCACAAAGTCACTTTGAAAAAAACAATTGTTGGAACATCCGCTTTCCAGCACGCCCAATCCCTGCAGCATCATCTGATTTGGGGGACAATCCAATTCACACACACACACGATTCCTAGATGTTTCTAGGCATCACACAGCTTCTGCAGCTTTCTGCAGCTTCCCATGCAAAACTTCCGAGGAGACACTCGCAGTGTACTTTTGCGAAGTCTATGTCTTAAAGATTTTGCAGAAGTCTCTTCAGTTGACTGTGTCAACAGGACATCGACGGATGGACAGCGACCTCTCCTGCTGTAATCCGCATTGACTTCTCCGCAAAGGATGTCCATCCTGCGAGTCGCGAAGAAGACCCCGTTCTTCGGAGCGAAGAAGTGCCACTGAAATGCAGCGAAAAACAGAAGGACAAAAACCAATGCATGCTCTATTGAATCATATTGATATCGATTGAATCTCCCAAGGTTGTTGGGTTGGCAAGCCCCCACAAAATATGCAGAATCTATGGATACCGAGACCGCCATTGCCATTCTTTGTGTTGCCGACCCTACCAGTAGTTAATAGCAAAGGGGACACTCCTTTGATCCGACCTTCCAACCCACTGGCAGTACAGTATCGTAGAACCCGAACTCTTTGGGAACCGATATCGATTGAGAAGCGAGGCCGCCGTCCCAGGACTTCGGACCCCACCAACTAAGGCATGGACATCCAGTCTGCAGGATTTTCATTGGGAGGCATTTGCAAACCTTGGTCTACCGGTATCTTGTAGAACAGGAAACACATGGAATACAGCTTTGACTGAAGCGACTCTTTAGGTGCCTGAAGAGACGTTTTGACGAGTGTTTCCTTTGGCGAGTTCTTCTTCGAGCATCGCCAGGAATTCTGCAGGGGTACCGGTAGATAGATTGATGTATAGCTAGTGAGCTCGTTGATTCACAACACGGCGCCAACGTCTCTGAAAAAATATTCATCCATATTCCAATACCTCTGCAAACCTCTTCAAAAGCATGTTAAACTCTCGGATCCATGGGATATTCATCCAGCTAAAAACACACACACAATCACACACATCTGCATAAATGCTTGGCTAGCTTGGTGCTTGGCCCATCTTCTCGAAGTATGGCTTTGCTTGGATCGTTGGCCTGAGTCACAGGTGCAACGAGAGAGGGCATCAAACAGAAGGAAAGTTTGGGTAGAATAAAATGTGTGCCTGAAACGTGGTCATTCTGTCATATTCTTTCTGTCGTCTTTTAAGTTAAGGGAATGCCTTGAGTCAGTTCGTGTACAGGTTAATCCAAACATATCCACATCCTTTGTTTCAATCAACGGGACAGGCCACACGGTCAGAATCAGTGAAGCACACCTCACCCCTGTCCACATGGTCCACCTGTGTCCCACGTAAGCAATCCAAGGTTGGAGCCCAATGTAAGCAAGCTTTCCGCCGGTGCCCAACCTTGCAGCCAGGGACTTCTGAAAGAATTCGTGTGTGAAGTGTGAAACAAAGTTCTTATGGACTGCCTATAAGGATGATAAGGATGCTGGAAAAATTCTATTTGAAGACTTGCTGGGCCATGTGAGATCCATGTGACGTTCAGGTGACCGTTCAGGTGACCCGTGACCGTTCGGGTGCCCCGTTTGCAAACGGGGTCGAAGGTGTGTGTTGTACGGGTCGAGGGTGTCTCCAGTGACTCGGCCGAGTACCACCTTCTCGCTCCTTCAATTCACTGCGCCCCTGCGCCAAGCGTTGTTTTTCTTCACCGTCACTGCGGCGTAGAAGGTATACGCAATAGCGCTCGGCAGGTGCGTTGCTTTCTTGTCTCGCGAATCCCCGCGAATCCTCTTCGCACCTGGGGGACATTTGGCCCAAAGCGGATCTGGACGAAACGAAGCTCAGCGCCAGGAACGGCGATCGGAAACCGAGTTCCCGAGTTCCCCGACAAACACACGTCGTCGATGAGAGTGAAAAGGCTATATCGCCTAGGCGGTTGTGATGAGGCAAATCGGTACGCTGGAATTGGCAAATGGAAAGGACATAAATTAATTGGCGCAGACTCCTGGCTTCTTGGGTCCCTCATGGTCCCTCCCAACCACTACTGGACCCTGTTTGGTGAAAGATGTAAAAATGCCACTACTGCGCACTCATCATCTGGTTCGTGCCAGCTAGGGCAGTCGTGGACCTGGAAAAGGATAGTGTTTCAAAGCCATGTGCTGCTAGTACTGCTGTGCCATCCATCCTGCATTGTGGGTCGACAGACAAACACGAGAGCTGCACTATCCCTTGCAAGTACTGTGGACAATGTGCATATGTACTGCCAATACCTTCCAGATCCTTCCAGTTCACGCATTGGAGATTGAAGTTAGGAAGGAAAGTCTACTATGATAAAGTATCCTAAGATCATGATCTGCCGACAAAGACTTACGACTCTCATCCAAATCACCTGACCTCTTGGCCAGCATCTGCCCACAGCATCTGCCGCTGCACAGCATTGCACAGCATTAGCCCAAATGAGGCTCCAACCACCTATGCTATGCTATGCTATGATGGTCATTTCGGCGGGCTGCTATGCCAATAGCAAGCTGGGCTGTCCAACGGTTGGTGGATAATCATGATGATGGTCATGCCCAGCTTCGCCCTGGCCCGTGAACGGACAGGGCCGGTCGCCAGGTCGGACGAACCAACAGGCGAAAGCGCAAGGCCGGTCGGCGCTGCAAATCCAAGAAACAGCGCATGATATATATATATATATATGGAGAGCAAGTCACAGTAATTCGAGAATACTGCAAGATCTGCAAGTCATTTCTGATCATTTCTGGAATAGTGCAGCAAGTCTCTGCACTGCAGTATTCCTCTAGATCCTCTAGTACCCGCCAGTCATCTGGCCCATATTAGTGGTCTATAATGGAATCAAGAATGGAAGACTATCAAGCGACAAGCGAGCCCGACCACCTCCGGCAAACTCAAGCAACACCCCCATCAAGCAAACAGGCAGCCCACAAAAAGAAAATAACGTGTTCTGGGATCCATGATCGGCTGCGCTTTGTGCATAGTTGCACAATCCTTGAAATCATGATGGAAGTTGCAAAACGCCCCTTATATGACCAGGTGGTGGGGATGTGCAAAATGCTCCTTAATGCCCCTTATATGACCCTTTTTCTCTACAAAGAGGTGGTTTTCCCTCCACTTCCATGGAACGTTTTCCTCTGAGTGACACCTTCACCGTGTCGGCCAGTCGTGTCGCCGTGAGTGTCGCCGGAACCACCACGCCCGAACGCGCCCAAACGTGGTCGGCCGCTGAGGTGCCCAACATCCGTTTCAGCTGCTGGACCAACACTAAAGAGGCAGTGGCGTCCTTCGGTGTGGGACGATGCCACAGGACTGATGCCTGATACCAGTGCTTAGTTGAGGCACCTGGTTTCGAACCCAACCAAGTGCACGCAACGGCAAGGTTCATTCAATCTCTGCTACTCAACTTTGGGACTCGAACCCAGAAAACTGGCTTCGAGCACTTGGCCTTCATGCAGCGAAGTTAAGTATATATGTATTATACAGTGCACGGGGGTTTGGGGGGCACGCTGTTGTCCTGTATGGTCTTTCTGTGCATATGTTGCCTGCGTGACGCATGTGCCGTTGGCGCGTCTCACTGGACCGCGCAACGAGAGGGTGAGTATATAGTTGTATTATACAGTGCATCTTTCAGAGTCGAGTGCAGAACAACAAACCCCTATTGCCACTCTTGCCTCAAAGGAGTTTTTGGTCAAAGAAAAATAGACCTTTGATGTTGTTTTTTAAAAAAATAAACAATGAAACACATATATACTTTGTTTGATACATTTTTTCACATTGTTTGGTATGCCTTCTTGTGCATTCTGCACGACTTTTTCGGGGGTCATCTTTCTGACAGCACACCAACGAATCCGCGGAGGGGGGAGGGGATGATTGTCGTGAATTCCTCACCCAACGAATCCCGGATGGTCGGATGGTGACTAACCTCATCAGCGATGTTGAACCTCAAGGCTGAGCATCTAAGAAGTGACAGGGAACCCAGGTGAAAGGATATATATATAATATGTATATTGCATCATCTGTATGTCTTGAAGTCTTGCAACACATATTGCATTAGTTTTTGTAGCTAGTTGCCTTGAATCCTGCAGGGTCATTTTGCATTGACATAGGAAGACCCAAAAATGAAAAGGATCTAGAGTCCAGAGCATAGGAATTCAATGGTTTCGGATTCTACTGCCATGTCAATGCTTTAAATGTCTGACCCCACGCCTATATGCAAGTGGCTAGGTGGCTGCGAAACTACACGCGCAACATTGTACAATAGCGTTCTGTCCCCCCATGGTTGTCTACGCCTGTCGTGGTGTATTCTTCACATGAAAAGAGCTTCTTCCTCTCAAACATGGTCATCTGAGCACAAACCACCACTGGCCACAGCGGTGCAGTCCAGACCAGAAGTTGGCTCATCCAAGAACTGCCAGGTGAGGCACTTCGTGTTTCACATGTGCGTGTTTCAACGCGAAGGGGTGTGCAACTGTTGAAGTTGGTGCAAATTGGTCTTAGCCAAGAGTGTGCATCAAAAGAACTATTTGGTGACCAGAAGCATGGGTTCAGCAACAGGCAGGGCACAAGTAATTAACAATTGCAATGAGAAGGAAACCAAAAAGGACACCTGAACAAATCAAGAATGACAGGTGAGTTAAGTGACATACAAACACGTCAAACAAAAATAATGAAGCTTTGGGTCTTGGGTCAAGCATGCCGGTCAAGGCCAAAATTGTTGGACACGCCGCAAGCTCCAGGCCGACGTTGACCCTCTTTTTCCTCATTGAGACACTGGATCCGCACAGTCAGTGATTTATACAAAGTGCATACTGAGCCTTAAGATCCTTACGTAAAAATATTGTTTTGCTGAGGGTAACAAGCCCTGGTGGAATCAATAAGTTGAGAAGGTCTTGTCGAAGTCAGGGGCCTGGACAAATGTCCAGGCCAACACAAGACTCACACCACGGAACACAATGCATTCCACACCGCTAGACATGGGAAAAGAGGCAAAGGCACGGATGATTGGAGATTCTTGACCAGTCTCTCACCTTTCTGGGGGACTCTTGGCGAAGCATTCCCACATTTTGGTGGTTGATGTCGGGTGTTGGTTTCCCCAAAAATGCGCTACGCCAAGGAGTTCGGGTCTTTTCGACCGACAGGGCAGAGCCCTCTCAGAGAATTGAGATTCTCTGAGGCTTCCAGCTGGCCACCGCTTAAGCCTTCACCGCTCTGAACTCGATTGCCAACCTCCGCTCGCAACTCAGAGGAATCACAGATTATCAACTTGGTGATGTGCTGGATTCTGCATCAAAGAAAACCTTGTCTCCTTCATGTGTGCCATAAATGACCATTAACGAAGATGTCAACATGCTGTAAAGGTTCCCATTACAAGGAGGTCAAACAGCTGGACTTGGATTCTCAAACATTCAATTTGCTACATGCTTCAACAGAACTGCAGCCATGACCACAGGCGGCGTACGGCTTCTTTGATCTTCCAAACCATGCTTTGACCATGCTTTCACTAGCTTCCCAAGTGTGGCCACTCTTGAGACTCCAACGATCATATTTTGCTTTGGCTCCAGCTGTAGTGCCTCCGCTCTGCCCGAGAACGAAACAAACGAAGCGAACAAGCGGATCACCCACAGAAGATCTCATCGGAAATGCGTATCTGGTCTTATTCAAACATCGTCTTGGGATGTCTTCGGCATCTGTGGCATACAGTCCGAAAGCCTGTGAGCCTGTGAGTCCGGTCGTATTTCCCGGAGCCGAAATAAAACATGGGCTCACCAACGCAGCCACTACGGTCAAACCGCCTGCATGACATCGTCCGTGATTTTTCGTATCCTGTTCGTCAGGGCAGTCCCGGTGGCGCCGTCGAGGGTCTTTATCACTGCATCAAACGTGAAGGATGGACTTTTGTCATTTACCAGCGCCTCGGGATGTTTTTGACTGAACTCGTCACACGTCCAACACGAGCTTTCTTTGGGCCAAGAACAGGATGTGTGCAGGCGTAGTCTCTTACGTGTTTGATTTGAACATCTTTGAACATCTTTGAACTCTATCTGCTGCGTTGGGCAAAAAGTGGCAGAACGCTTTGAAGGTGTGAAAACAGTAGCATTCGAGCAAAGCGCTAGAAAGACCTCACTACAACATACACCCATTTGGAATGGGGAATCAACTCCATCCTTTGCCAAAAACTCTCAAAAAAAGCTCATCCGCGCTTGTCAGGTCCAAAAAGCCAAGCGTTTGAAGGGTTGGGTGGCAAAACCACTTCGAAACTGCGACCTCCCTCAGTTCCTGCCGGCCTTGCTTCACTGGTTCCTGCAGGCATACGCTTGGCTGCAGAGAACTTGATGTTCTCGCGCACCGTAAGCCTCGGCTTTTGTTCCGGGATGCGTTTGTGTCAAAGTCCTGTTTTATCCAGTTGTCTTAAGTGGATGGAGCCCTGTCCCTCTTTGTCTACCACAATCTTGGAACATCTGCAGAGTTGAGGTTGCTCAGGCTGAAACGAAGCATAAATTAAAGATAAGAAAAGTGACATGGCCCGAGGCATCATGGGCTTGACCCTGTAGTCCGCCTATATACATAAAACTGCAAAAACACGATTCAATCGATTCAATCTTCACCGACTCAAGATCACGATCATCAACTCAAGGCGCACGACACGTTCGTTGCTTCCGCTTTTGCCCAAATATTACGTATAATATACTGATTTATATTTTGATTTATTTGTGTTTCTTCCCTCAAGCATCCATCCCAAAGGAGCGCCAAGCTCTGGACCCTTCATGAACCACATCGTCCTGGTTGGGTGCTCTCATGTCAATGTGCTTTCAGGACACATGTTTCAGGAGACTCCCAACACCTTGGTCGATGTCTGAATGGTTCAGGCCATATTCTGCTCCCCCTGGAAATCTCAGGAATTGGCAAAATCTTTCTTCACTTGGGTACCTCCCCATACGTATCCCCACACGATGTATATATGATTCTGCTAAGACCACCCTTGGAGCGGAGACCAGGGCCCGGCCGGACGGTCAACGATTCCAGGCGTTCCAGGCATCCGAGAAGCCTCCACCCGAACGAAGCGATATGAAGCGATGGCCTCCCCAAAAAAAAGGAACGAGATCGACTGGAGCTGGACCCAGCTCGACCTAGCCGACGGAAGCCTTAATCCACCAGTGGCGAAATCGCCGCAAGTGGGCGAAATCAAATCGAACCAAGAGACCAAGAATCGCCAAACCTCTTTGCCAGTCCCACCTGTGGCACCCTTGGTCCTGAGGGACAAAACCAATGACCGGTTTCAAGGATTCAATGCTCTGCTCTTTGCCATTGATCAAAATGTCGCCTCGGCTGAAGATGGAGGCCCCCGCGATTGGTCGAATCCCACTGGTGGTTCAGCGGTGGCTCGAGGCCACGGTTGCGAACCAACCAAGAGAGGTTATATAAAGTGACCTTATAGCCTGAACTAGGACCCCACTGGATTACCTACAGTCTATCTCGGGTCCTTGAACCTCTGTTGGAACGTATCTCATGCTGCTAAGCTATGAAGATTCGCCCTGGCTGGGTGTCATCGTTTACAAATGTTTTTCTCTCCGTTTCGTTCAACAAGTGTCAAGGTTGCAAGGATCAATAATTATGGATAATTTAATGGCTACTTCCATACTTCCAAACATGTCAATAACATTTTAACGATTGGTGACAAAGAAACCGTGCAACATGTAATGCCTGCTGTCTTTGGCTGCCTATGAGTGGTTAAGGAAGACCCTGGGGATTGAAGGTGGATACCGCTGGGGCCCCAGCCACGAACCGTCCACTTCTTGTCAGATCTTTTCTGACGAGTCAGTGCAATGCAAGGAGAATCAAAGAATCACATTCTGGGCCTTGAGGCCTTCAGGTTCCTCACTTCAAGGCTGATATCGGTGGACACGCACAAAACAAGTCAAATGGGAGTGTAGTTTGCTGCACACATCACTGTGGAGCTTGCTCTGGAACTTCGAATCTGCGCAACTCAAGGTCTCGGATCTAAAGCAATAACTACCGTGTAGACTCTCCCCTCACCTTGCCAGTCAACACATCAATGAAGGTGGTTTTGCCGCTTCCGGAGGGACCTCAGCCATGAAAAGAATGATGGGCCGTTCGGCCGATAGAGTCGTCTCCCCCCCCCCAAAGAAGGAAAAAATGATTCAAGAAACCTCCTTAAGGGGTCTTGATATTACCCCATCCCCTTTTCCAGAGGAAAAAATACCAACAAGGATGATTCAAAATGCAAAAAAATAATCCAATGGATTTCCCGATGTTGAGTCTCCCGTCTGGAAGCGTTTTTGGCCCTCCGTTTGACGCATCCATCCCCCCGAACGTTAGCCAAAACTCGAATGAGACTCGAGGCGTGGCTCGGGATTGAATCAATCGATGTGGACAACGGTATAGACTGGGAAAGGGAGCTGGACGTCGAATGGGAGTTGATTCTACCATCACTATACTGAGTAGCTTGCTCCTAATTCCCAACGAAAAAGCTCCGCAACAAGCTCCGCACAAAAGAATCAGGCCAACATTGGGCCGTCTCGACGAACATCCACGCGGCGTGTGCCGTCACGGTGGGAAACGCACGGACCGCCCTTCCAACAGGATGGACTCCGTTTCGATTCCTGGAAGATTTTAAAGATCTTGGAAGACCCTGAAGCTTTGAGTCTGTTGAATCTGATTATAGGTGGCCTGGCTCGCAGGTGCGAAGCTGCGAAAACGAGCTTGAGAGACCCAGGCCAAGCTGAGATCCAGCATTCCCAAATCTCTTCTTGAGAGAACTCATGTGGTGGGTCTCAGATTCCAGATTCTGGCAGCTTTCCAGGTCCATCCATCCATTAGTAGTAGTAGTAGTAGTAGTAGGTACGTACGTATGTACTTATGTATGATACAAAGGCATCGGTCTTGGGTTTTCCTCATCGGTTTTCAATGAATGCTCAATGTATCCTCAATGTATGACCTACCGATGTAAAGCTTTTGGTTCCAAGACTTTTGGACGGATCTCATATTCATCCGCTGATGGCAGCGGAAGAAGATATGAGGCACCCCACCCATGATCGCTGACAAATGCCCGGCTTCGAAGCTTCCGTTGATGTCATCCAAAACAGTCACCAAACCAGCATCCTTGGCAGTGCAATCAGGATGGTGTCGTCCCACGTGTCCTGAGGACGAGCCTTCGGACCGGTCCTGTTCGCAGAAATGGGTCATGCGTCCAACGTCCAACGTTGAACGCTACATGCATATCCCATGGTTTCGGACCGAGCAAACTACTGTCCCTCATCACACAATGGATGATAATTTGATTATATCAGAACCCCCCCGTCCAGTCCAACCCCCCGGATTTGAGGCACCCGGCGGATTTCACTGTGCAGTGAATGTTTTGAAACTGCAACGTGGCCGTCTGAAGCTTTCGAGTGATGCCTCACGAGTTCGGCCAATGATGAACTAAATGAGACAAGCACAGTCCGGCAGGAGCTCCACAGGAGCTCCGCATGAAGCGATATGAAGCGCGCACGCCTCATAACCCCGCGGAAGACATAAGAAACTAAATTAATAGCTTTTTGTTACTACTAGTAAGGCACCTGTTACTACTAGCGAGGCACTTGTTACTAATAGCTTCTTGTTACTAACCCAATCACCGCACCTCGAAGTTTGTTCTGCTCCAGGTGGCGAATGCTCGAGTTCTCGAGGATTTTCAACAAGAACCTCGGAGAATTCCGGTCAAGAACCATCGAATGAGGTCGGTTCTTGTTCTTTTGAAGACGCAAACCAGTCAAGAATTTTAGTGAAGCTCTCTGGACGTTCAAGATCTTGTTCACATCTTTTGCATTCGTTGCACCGTACCGACAGTTCCGATACGATACACTCTTCTTTTTGTCTTTCAGCTTGCGAGTGGTTCCTCCTAAGTCATCCAGAATTTACTTGGTGTCAACAAAACGGCCCTAAGTCATTCAGGAACGCTCACCGCGTTAAAACAACATGACAGATCATGAAAGAAAAGAAGTTTGGACTCGAAGATCGAATCCACCGCCACGCTGTGGAATAGCTTGACTATGATTGAATCACATCCGTCATCCGTCACCCTTCGCCATCTCTCGGCGCCGGACGCATCCGTTTCTTGAAGCCTCTCAAGCTCTTGTGCCTCTCAAGCTCATCCGTCAGACGCCAACTCAGCCGTTTCAGCAGTCCGTTTCGGACCAAAGGCGGTCGCCCTGAGGTGTGGACGGCCAATTGGTCACGCTGTCGCGTGTAGCGTTGAAAAAGGAAGCAAAATCCCAGGACCAACACCTCAGATCAGCACGATCGCTGTTTTCTTTGGGTTTTTTTTCTCAGCAAAACCCACAGCTCGATCGATCCGATCTCTTGCTGCAAGGCACAGAAACGCACAGCAAGACAAAAATGGCCACTTTGCTCTGTCGAGCCTGGGCGCTGCGACACCCGCAATCTGGAGAAATCGATCTGTTCTATCAATGTTGGCATGAAGAGCCAACCCTGCATGTCCTGTTCTATCTCTCGCTTCTTGGCTGAACGTGGGATACATTGATCCATGGCTGAACGAAGTTCCTGGAAAGCCTCCTTCGAATCCCTCAGAACTCGACACAAGAAAAGAAATCCACATCGGATGTGCGTGCGTCGCCCCATTGAGTGGCTCGAGAGCTGCTAAACCCCTGGCATCTCTGGGATCAACATTGCTTGGCAAGCCTCAGTGTCAACCGACAATTCGGAGCTTGTGGGAAGAAAAGGGCGCGCTGGGACGAGACCGGTCACAAACATGCGAAGCGAGAGCAGGAAGTCCTGCTGTTGATCAGGCAGCTGTATGGGACAAAGAGATTGCAGTAGAAGAAAACTGTTTGTTGAATGTGTTCTTTTCGTTGGTGGTGAACGCAACTGTTGCGGCCTGAACACCTGAGCAATGCAAACTCCATAGACACCGCCAGTATTGAAACGAGCTCTCAAACAATCTCAACATGGGGCATCTCTGTGAGGCAACAATTGAGCTTAGTGTTGATGGAAATGCAACTCCTCCTCTTGTGAAGGTACCAGGATGGAGGGTCGACAGCCTGTTTTATGTCAAAACAACTCCCTTCAAGCCCTTCAGGGACTAGAGTCTGACAAATCATAACAAATCAGGAACTTTCAAGAAAGCTGACCAAAGTGCCTGGCCCGTGCTCCCTCTCTCTCTTTGTGTTTCTTCCCGAATGAGGAGAAATGAAGTCTTTTCTCAGTAGATGTCCGACGATATGCGTCTTGAGGTTCCTTGTTGTTCTACGGTGTTTTGACTTCACATTCTCTTCCTGCATTTCCCGAGGCCCCTCAAATGCAGGATTTTTTCCGTACCTGTTCAAGTGAAGGCATATTTTGATGTACCTGGTGATGGTTCTGGAAGGAGCGGATACCACCGTATCCCTGCAAGATTGAAAAACGATTCGGAGCACCTGCAAGATTGTTCGGTGCTCTAAAGCACCCAACACCAAAAAGGTCGCCGAACTTCGGCGTGTGGTTCCTTCCTGTCAAAAAATTGAGAGGTACACATATACTGATAGGAGCACTAAGGTCGCTGAAGGGTTATGACTTTGAAGTAGTCGACGACCTTGCCATCATACTGGGTGTTTTGTGTGTGTGCGTAGCGAACCCTCTCTACTTGAAACATCTTGAAGCAGTCTTCACAGATTCTGATCCTCACTCAAATAGAGAGAGTTCCAACAAGCAACCGACCCTTTTACACAACACATATATGTTTCATTTGTACCTCCTGCGACCCCGGAACCAAAAGCTTGACTTCCTCTGCCCAGTGGCCGCCGTTGGGGACAACGCCCGCGGCGGTTGCCACACTGAGCCAACCGAGGACAAGCGCACCACATGCCCTGGACGCGGAGTCAATCCGCGCGGACTGAGACGCGCGCTTGCATCTGTTGGAGAAGCTCCCTGGAGGGGATGTAATCCGTATGGGTCCCTGCAAAGACATGCTTCCTCTTCAAACACTTGGTCAAGACTTGTCGCTATGTTTCAATTATAGAATTATAGTGCATATTACAATAGACAAAAGAAACATATAGCATATGTATGAACTTTATTCTTTGTGCCACTCCACCTATGATTGCGCTCCCTTCTGTAAATAGAACCTCGGGCCAACTATGAACCTGACTGCTCTCCCGTCAAAATTCCACCAATACTCAGGTAATTTGATTTGTAAAAGCACGAATTACACCTATATAAGTATTAAATAGACCTAAAATTATCGCTCAACAAACGCTGCAATACTCGCGTACATTTGATCCAATACTGGCGCGGGTTGATCTCGGAGAAAGTTAACAATAAGTCACTGCTGTTATCGAAAAAATCCACAATACTCATGTAGTGTGATACAACAAATCCCTGTACTCTTCGAATTTGAGAAAAAACGAAAAATTCAAGAAAACATATGTATAACGGACATAGATTTAAACACTTCCCAATCACATGCTGTTCAATATACAAAACCCATACTAGGTAATTTCAAAATGGACAATTCATATCAATTCATGACAACTCTAAACACACATTGAAAAAATACGAAGATTTTGGCTAAGGGTACCCCTTACGAAGATTTATATACGAGGCCTGATGCAAAGAAATACAAACACCTGCCCAAAAATACTTGCTTCAGCCGCCTTCCACTTGGAGTCTCGGAACACGAAAAGAACCAACTGTGAGAGCAAGCGCCGTGACTGTGCTCAGTTCTCTCCTTCTGTTGCTGCAGGTAAGTGAATTTCGCTGCAAACAGGGGTGCTTGCTCAGCATTCAGGTCCAGACATGTGTCCTTTCATCAGCTGCATCCCAGTGGCAAAGTGTTTGTCATTCAATTACTCAAGTTATCTATCTTTCAACTGGTTTCAGACTTTTGGCCAACAACCCTGGTTTTGCAGCCCCAGCTCCTGCTGTTGCCTTCTATGACCCTCTCTTGACTACACCCATGAAAGACTTCGAGCACCACAAACAGTCCGAGTCCGGGTCAAACACTCTCGGTGGATTCATCCTCCTCCTCCTCCTCCTCCTCCTCATCATCATCATCATCATCATCATACGAAGCTGATGTAGACCGCGGACACCTCTATCTCTACATACATTCCACTGTTGCCTGAAAAGGGACTCAGCCGAACTCGGCACTGCACAGCGCACGCGGCACACGCACGGAGACCTTGCCTCGCATGGCTTTCCATTGCTCCCGCCATGAGTTCAGCAGGCTTGTTGAGCACAGACCAACGGGAAAAGAAGGCCCGCAAAAGGGAGGTTCCAAAGAATCGAAGACAAAGGATCCAGAATGCCGATTTAACAAAATCCTGATGTAGGTTCTTCAGTTATGCTATGCCTGCAGTTTTCACTTTTTTGCAAGTCTTCAAGACATTTTGGTGTAGCACCCGACAAGCACATGTCCACACACATGGAGAGAGAGAGAGAGAAAGAGGGGAAGATAGACAATTCCTGGGAGGGATTCTTAGTTGGAAATATGATATATGAAATATTGAAATACCGGTTTATGACTGGTGACCCATATTGCATAAAGACTGACCGTCAGACTGTCAGATGTCTCTCTGAGGGACTGGCAAATCTCAAAAGGAAGAAAAAAGTCAGGAACAAGCTAGCCTTCTAGTAACAAGTGCATCGCTACTAGGAACAAGGGCCTTACTACTAGGAACAAGAAGCTACTAGGAAACAATATTAGAATTTAATTAGTTGAAGCTAGCCTTCTTGCCAGTATCCCCATTTGCACTGGACCAACGAAAGACTCGACACGCGCACAACCACGTCACGCGCGTGACGGGACACCATGGTCGTGGAGAAAGGCCACCGCCTCCAACCTGAGTTAGTCACTCTCAGGCTTCAGTGTGGAGCGGAGGGTAGCAGAGAAAACCGTTTCAATATGCGTGGTTCCAAAAGTTGTCCAAAGGATGGTAGTTAGTCTTTGTAGAGGAGCTCTAAAAGGAACAATTCCCATACTCCATTCACTTAGCATCTCTTTCAAGGCACCCCTTTCTGTGACCTCTCAAGCATCTCATTTGAACTGGCTTGTGCGGCCGAACGGCCATGAACTGCCTGATTCGTCATGCCACACGTCCCTTCGATGCCATGAGACGAATCCGTCAAACACGGAGAGGGAACAAAGTCCTCTTCCATCTCTATGGTCACTCTTCAGTAGCCTTCAGTGTCATGTCCATCGTCACACTGAGCTTGCAAACAGCTGGCTGAAGATCGCCCTGATCTCCTCAGATCCATTTGGATGGCTCCTCACCCAGTCACCTTCACGTCACACGTCCTTCCAAAAGCGGACCAGCGACCCATTTCCCAAGCAGAAGATTTCGTCTATGTCCAGATCCACAGGGAAGAGGAAACCCGCAGGTAGCAAGGAGGAGTGCATGGGAGTGCTTTTTCTTTGTCTTGTCTGAAAGTCATGACAGTCATGCCGTCTTTGACTTAAAGTATCTGTGCACAGTATGACGGTTTTGGACTGACAGTTTGTGTGCTGCAACTTGCTCACACCACCAAACCGTTCCCAAACGAAAGGCCACACAAGAACTAAAAAGACTAGAACTGATTGCTTGGCTGGTCAAATCACTATGAAGCACTTCATATCATCAGCTTTGAGACCTGAGACGTTCACAGGGTTCCTTCTCATTCCGCCAACATAGCAAACAACCATCGTCCGACCCACAGGCTCCGCTTGTAGCCGCAAGCGTGGCAGTACGCGTCGGAACCAGGCCTCAGTGCCAGATCGCGATCAGATCGGAGCGATGCGGCGCCGGGTTCCTTCTGGGGCGCCGGGCGCTGAAGTCGCAGGGCACATACTCTGTGGCAATAAAGACCCGGGGAGGAACGACCTGCGGTTCGCAGGGAAAACTGGAGGCGAACGCATCGTGAAAATCCCAGGGCGAACGCATGGGCTTCAAAAAACCTACCGATGTTTGTGTTTCACTGGGGACGGTCGTGGGCTTCAAAAAACCCGAGGGCTTGGTCGCGGTATAGACTTCGTGTGTCCCGCTTCGAAAACGGATGTCCATCTGGTAGACCCTCTGGTCTGTCCAAGTACCAAAAGGGAACAACATCAATGTTCCTCGTCTCTGCGTACGATGCAGGTCCCCATAGACATCCCATAGTCTCTTGCGTGGCATAATTGTTCACCCTAAAACCAGAGGCAAACTTGGATGCATCAAGCGAAAGGAATGCAAACAAACAAACAAACCAACACAACACAACACAACAAAACAAAACAAAACAAACAAACAAAACAAAACACAATAAAACAAAACAAATCTAGCGGCGAAGCTGGTGGATTCAGGACGTCAGAGGGGCTCTGAGTGCTGCTAATTCTATTGGTTCTTGGGAGTGTAAACCTTTGGCCAGGACGACAGCATTGTTGGGATATGGATCGATGATCTTTCACTAGCTATCACAAACATGTCCTAGGTCCTACTGTGGGATACTTTTGTGTGTAGACAACAAAGGGAGTTGCAACTTGCACTCAGCATCACTCAGCAAACTCCAACATACATTCAGATGTGTTGAGCTTGTTTGATTGCTTCAAAGGCCTTGCATGACCAAACATAATGTCAATATCGTTCTTTCCTTTTCATACTGAGAGTGGACACCTCGCTCTTCAGATCTCACGTGCTTTTCTTTAACAGGACAAGCAGCTGCATGGAACAGTCAATGCGTGTCAATGCGTTCTTGAATGCAGATGAAACAAAAGAACCAAGGATGTGCAAATTGCAGGAAATCCTGAAAAAATAGAAGCACAGTGGGGAATTGCCTGCATGTGGACTAGATCACAGCCTGTGCAGCTGGACCCCGCGCCATAGATGGCCGTAGGTTTTTCTTCAATCTAACTTTCACATTTGTTCAGGAGGGTTTTGCGGGTGGGGTGAGGGGCTGGGGATGTACTTACTTTTGTTCGCGGGGGAAGGGATGAATTTGGTTTGTGGGACTTGAGTTTGTCGGCCGTCGCAAGTTGACCCTGGCTCTAGAGAGGGCAGCGGTGTGGAATTTGGCGTTTGTGATGCTGAGCACCTCTCGGCTTCAGGTCCAGGTCTTGGCGCAGCTTGACAGAGTTTTCACACCAATGAGCGGGATGACCCAAAGGACACACTACTGAATCCCTTGTACGGCAAAAGTGCTTTCGGATGTGGCGCCAGGAAATGCGTGGTAATGTCGGATCCTAATTAGTCGAGTGGGAGGGAATAATACGTAGTGTTCGCAAAATAATTCCAACACCCTGAATAGTTTAGTGGGAGGGAATAACAAAATATAATTCATCCAGGGTGTTGTGTTTACTTTTTCTATTGTTCTGCTTTTGTTCCTTCTTTAAAGTCCTTAACTCTCCTGAGGTTTGATTGATTCATGGAACTCTGACCTGGAAATTGTTTTCAAAAACGCTTCTTAAAACTCAACGAGTTCATTGTTCCAAACAATTTTTCAAGGGGGTAGTACTCAAGCCCAGGGGAAGTGAATAATATCAATTGTCTGGGGGTGGGATTAAGAAGCAAACTTGGAGCCCTGGGGGCAGGGGAAAAAACAACTTTAATATTGTTCTGCTATTGCTATCAGTTCAAATCCCTACTTAACTCTTCTACTACTACTTACTGTACCTCTTCTACTACTACTACTACTACTACTACGACTACGACTACGACTACCACTACCACTACCACTACCACTACCACTACCACTACGACTACTACCACCACTACTACCCCCACTACTACCACCACTACCACTACCACTACGACTACTACTACTACTCCTGCTGCTGCTGCTGCGACTACTACTAGACGACTACTACTACTACTACTACTACTACTACTACTACTATAACTACTAACTACTAACTACTACCTACTACCTACTACCTACTACCTACTACTAGTACTACTACTACTCCTCCTCCTCTTCCTCCTGCTGCTGCTGCTGGTGCTGCTACCAATACTACTAATTGTTTTTGTGGCGGGGATACCATTCATACTCCCTTGATTGCTTGCTAGGGGGGACCCGTTTACTATTTAAGACCCAACATGAAGATGATTTCTTGGAAGAACTTCAACAACTGCTGAAGTGTTGAACAAGTTGCGTGAGCCACTAGTTTTCGACGGAGTGCCAAGAAGCCTTTGAACCAAAGTTCTATTGGCTTTCGGATCCTTTGTTGCTTCTCCCCAGTCAGGGGCCGCGTTCACACGTACCACTTCGAGCTTAGTGAACTCCCCCCAATGCCCCCTGCGAGCAATTCCAAAGAGCACAAAACCACTACGGGCAATTTGTCTGGTGGCGTGTACCTATATGGTTATTATACAGTTTCATTAATGTGTTTCTCGACTTCATGGACCATGGCGTAGGACCGGCCATGGCGTTTGTCGGCCCAGTTTCCCACACCGGCCACCAGTTTTGCACACCTCGACTTCGATCAGGCGGAGGAAGTTGAGGTGTTGCGCTCGCTTCACAGCATGGAGGAAGCCCACCTGAAGCGACGTTTAAATGGAACCATCTTCAACCTCAAAGTCTCTCAAAGCAGGTGATCTTCCCAACATCATTGTAGTTTTTTTCGCATTGTTTCTCAATGTTTTTTTCAGATATGTTCACATTGTGTTCTTTTATTCTGCCTTTTGTGGCTACCACCGGAACCGCAAAACGCGTCGGCTTTCCGCCTCGCGCAGGACGCTGGGAAGCAGGCCGTCGGAGGTGTTGCCGTTGTTGCGTCTGTCGCGACGCGAAGCAGGCGCGGAGCAGGCGGAGCTGTTGGTCTCCGCGGTCGAAACCAAGCGCCATGAAGGTCCGTCCGGCATGAAAAGCAATGAGCAGAGTGATGTACAGAGTAGCCTTTACTGGTAAGTCTGTGGATGGGAACTTGACTTCACACCCAGCATGACCTACAGTACACTAGCTTCTCCAAAAAACCTGAAGAATTTGAGAAGGAACACTCCAATTCTCACCCCAATTTCGGCGAGGTGGGCGGTCTCCAAGCCGACCGAGTGACACATTCACCAGGCTCCCACGCTCCAAGTCGAGGGTTCTCAGCGCCACCTCCTGTTTTGCGGAGCAGGAAAAACGTGTGGAATCCGCTTCGGCGAGTGAAGCAGGAACTTCTTCTTCTTCTTCACTGGGAAGGGTTTCTTATTCTTCGGCCCAAAAGGAAAGCTCTTCCCTGAAGTAGGAATTGGCTAGACATGATGGAAGATCTTCCATCACTGTCTAGCTAGACCATGCAAGGGGTGTCCAATGGAGGTCCTTCTATCCTTCTGTAGAGTAGTTTTTGGGGCGACCCCATGGATGGTCCTGGCAGGTCTAGCGCGGAGGGACGACCGAGCTCGAAAGGCTCTGGAAGAGCACGGACGTGCATACACTCACACTCACTCACCTGCGGCCGCACACAGGCATGCCTAACGCAGGACAGAAATGGGAGGAAGAATAAATATATGGAAGAATGCACGCACATCCAAGCGCTGGATGGGTTCCAAGATATCCAAGGTCCGAAACTGAAGCTGGTCCAACGGTCCAAAGCACCCTGCTAGTATATACCGAACCTGCTAGTTGTGAACCGCACCTTTTCCACTCATTGCTATAATTAATGACTGCCGTACCGAAAAAGGTGCTTGAGGATCCTTCTATCAAAACTGCTGGATGACGGCCGGGAGGACCTGATACAGCCCAACAAACACCTTTAGTCACAAGGCGGGAACTTCCCCGTCTTGCAACGGGGTCGGAACCGTGGGGTCTCCGGATGCCCCCGGGTCGTCGTGTCCTGACGCTCTTTGCCCAACAAGATTCCGCGGTCCACAGTGCCACGAGACCTCGCTTTGGGAGGAGCAACTTGCTACACGAGAAGTGAAAAAAGTAGAACTTTGGTGATCATTCACAGAAAAGTGCTGCTTCAGCTGCCTCTACCGCTTCTACCAACTCTTCAGTCAAGAGTTCTCCACCCCAAAATCTTTGTACAACACTTGTTCTGACAGGTCGACCCAAAAATCCTGGCAGCAACACCTGCTTAAGACGAGGAGTGCAGAGGTGAATTCACTCACTTGGCGAGAATTCGAAGCAAGCTCTTCTCACAACACTGCCCAAATGGTTCGGTCGAGGTTTTGTGTGTGCAGTACACTCGAACGTTCCAGGATATATATATATATATATACCTATAGAGCCAAGTGTAACACAAATTTAGGTATCAAAAAAAACTTGGCCGTTTGGATGATAAGTGCTCGAATCTTAGAATATCACTCGAATCGCCAAAAAGCGCTCGAGATGCTTTCCTTCTTCCCCTACTTCACACGTACATCCGTGCACAACGAGCTCTTCAAGATTCCTTTTGTTGCCGGGATCCTCAGCCAGTGTCTCAGATCCTTACAAATAGCCAGCGCCAAAGTGGTAGGCCCACTCACGCCGGTACTTGCCCAGCGCCCGATCTATACATCTCGTCGAGGCAGTCAGGACATGTGTCCGCCGGGAAATGCGAGAACAGCGTCCCACAAAATCTTCGTCTGCCCAACACATGTGGACAGACATGTTGAGTATGTACTCGGGTCCGGTTGCTAGCATATCTTCCATGTCCAACCTTGGCCCAAGGCCAAGATTTCAATTGGGTCAGTGGCTGCTTGTTTATCAATTTGCACCTATCCATGTTTGAGAACTACCCAAACGCCAAGAAGCTGGAGATGGCACATCATGTGGAGTTTTGGTCTAACCTTGAATAGGCGAAGAGAGAGTTTGCTTGTCAAGGAAGCCAATGTCATGTATCCATCCTGAGGCAGACCAGTAGCAAGGTCAAAAGGTGAAGGGTGCACAACACATGGCATGCTTTTACATGCGTTTACTTAAGCAGAGGTTCGGTGAACCTCCATCCGTCTTGAACCACCTGTTGAGCAACAGAGCGGTTTAGCCAAACTCCTTCACGATATATTGTTCGCCAATACCGGTCACAGGCGTGGCTGGCCCACACCAAAACTTCCACAACTTCTCTCATGGGACCATCCTGCAGACACATGTCCGATGAAGGGTTCAAGTTTGAGAAACGGTTGCACAAGAGTTTTGGCCCAGCTGCAATCGAGGCCGGCTGGATTTGGTGGAGCTCTGCATCCAACCAGGCGCCGACGACACCAGAGTCAAATCCTTTGCCCAAACCTTGAGGATAGTTGTTGAACCTCAATTCCACCCAGAACTTGCATACCGCTAGAGGAACCATGACAAAAAACACATGCATGGAAACTGAAACTGAACAGGTGTTCTGCAAGTGGTGGTCAATCTAGGGGCGAGTTCTGGGGCAGTTTGAAGGTCTTGTAGCTGAAATCGGTGATGCTGGTGGTCTTTCCGTATGCTTCACAATATGATATGAAGCGAGCATACGCACGAGATAGTTTCATGTCCATGCTTCCATGTCCAAACCAACCCGCGTGGCAAAGAATCATGATGCCAGAAGCTAGAAAGGATTTCCCTATGCCATCGATGGCATAGGTATGGGCAGGATCTATTCTGATGTACTGGGCACTATCTCCTGTAGGCAAGTCCCTCAAAGGGCTTCGCCAGTCATCTTTGAACGGACTGGCCATCTCCGGATCACGAACGCGCACACGTTTGAGGGCCCCTTTCACATCATACCAGTTCTCCTTAGCCACAGGGTGGTTTGATGGTCAAGTCAAAATCCCCAAACTTGCGATGAACACAATTACCACATATGACTTGCATGCATGTGCACACTACCGACACTACCGATATCTACTAACGCACGCTCAGGCCAGGCTGCCCCCCAGATCACATCGGTGACACTTGCGATTACAATTGTAACCGCAATTGAGCCCTAGGGCACTCCTCAGAAAAGGCCAATCACCCTTGGTCCCTGTGAAGGTAAAGTAGTATCTGTAGGTGCTGCCTTCCCATGTGACCTAAGCTGCAAGTTCGAGGGTGCTGCAGCCTGTAGGTAGTGCCTAAGGTAATCCGGAAAGGCCAAGCACTAAGTCAACCACAGCTACACCTTCGGTGCTCAATCTATTCAGGTCATTGACCATGTCAGCAAGCGCAACACGCACGTTCTCTTGTGAATAGGGAGACGGGAGCACTGTGTAGAGGAGGCGAGTACAAAACGTTGGCCTAGGATCACAGTTCCATCGTACAGGAAAAACATGGAAAAACAATATATACACATCACGTAACACATAAGCAAATGCAAGAAAAGTAAAACTGCACTTAGGTTCCAAGCAACCCCCTCATGTTTTATTTTTGCCCTTGTAAAGGTAGTAGTGGCTGAAAAGCTATGATCAAAATAGGTTGCTTTGCACGGCCCCTACCCTCATCTCCATGAATTGCGATTGGTATGTGCCATGCCCTCTTGTTGGCATCCGGCAAAGGAAAATCAGGGTGGGTTGCTCCGAAGTGGCTCCAAAACTCCTGAAGCTCCAAACCAAAAGCGGCAGCATTTGCAAGCGAATTTCCTCTAAAGGAAAAAAATGGCCACCAGCTTTAAAGCTTACACGGGCCCAATCGCTCAGTCTCACAATTGGGTGGGCCACTGGCACCATATTAAGCTTTTTGCAGGACATCCGCTCTTGCATTTCAAGAAATGACACATGCACTGGCAATATTTTGCCTTTTCTCCGAATTAGGTTGTGCAGGTTCCTGCAAGCGTGGGAATCCACCCGTTTGTTGCCACACTTGGCCATGCGTTCCATCATAGGGTCCCTCAATCCTCAGCTTTAAAGCACAGCTCAAGAAGGATCAATATGGCAATTAATATCGATCATATACTACTCACATACTAGCTAGAATAGATCACAAGCAAACGGACACACATGTTTGGCAGAGGGTCCATGCTTTCGGAACTTGTTGTTGGCAACCCTTGCTAGCCGCGATACTCTGGAGGCAGACTCAGCCTTAGGATGTCCAACCGGGAACGCATTGCACAATGCACTCTTTAGCAAAGACTGCTGAACCAAGGAGCCCCCTCCTCAAATCCAATGAGAAATTCGTCTGCCAGGTCTGTGTCTTCAGAGCTGGTCTCCAGAATAGCACCTGCAGCATTGGAGGTGCAACAGCGCGTTTCAGGGGGACATGGGAACGCCGGTCAATGCTTGGTGCCTGCAGGTGAATTATCCATCCCATCCTCCACATCTACACCTGCGAATGGGTAGGGCTTTGCTGGAGCAAATGGCCCATTCAGATTGATTTGTGCACCTTGATCTAGCCTTCCACGGAGCACGCAGCTGTTTTAACTTGTTTCGAGCGTGAGATCACCTTGAAATCCAAAGAAACACCCCAAGCATCAATTATGTAGCTCATTGGGGAACATCTCAACCGGAGCAGGCTAAAGGCTTCAACATTGAGGTTTTATGCGGTTTTGATGCTGCTGAGCACCAACAACAAAAAGAGGTAAGTGAAGTGCTCAAAAACTCCTAGTTGAGCCCCAGCTGAGCCAATCAGTCACGTGGTCAAACCACATGCCCCAAAATTCACATAACCCTAGACTATGCCCCAGCTTTTCCTGGGGCAGCTTTCCGCTTTGGCCTCGAAGTGCCAGGCGTATCTTTCTTCGGCGACGACTTTGGTTTGGAAGCATTCTTGGAATGCTTCTTGGCAGCCGTTTTGGCACCAGGGGCAACTTTCACATTCCTGGCAGTGTGGCGTGGGCAGGTGGAGGCCCCATACATATGACAGATAGACTTGAAGTAGAAGGAAGTGATGGAATGTGCACAATCATTCAACGTTTGAACCTTGCTCGAACGACCAAGTTGTTCAAGGACACATCCATCTTGGTAAGGTCCGCGAATTTGCCAAGCAACGATTTTGATACCTCTGGCCTCAATTCAGACCAGTTGGAACTGAGGTGGTCACGTTGGAAAAACCATTGTTGCCTTTTGGACAATTGTTCATGCAGTTATGCTCAATAGCATTCAATTGCTGGGCAAAATTGAGACCAAGTGGCGTCGTGGTTCGCGTAACTGCAGTATCCGCTTGCTGTTTTTCCAATTCCCTGTAGATCTTCTTCATGTTTCCCACGTGGGAAGTGATACTGGCGGAAAGCCTGATGGAGCAGGATAAATACTGTACAGGTTATCAGGTTAGTGAAACAAATCATGTACTTCCAAGGAGCTTGTCAGGGTTTAGATTTCATTTTTGCTTTTGTACCGAACTAAGCTCACCACTCTTTGGCTTGTGGGCTGCCAACCTTGTTCAACTTCTCCTGTGAGATTGGTATGTTGGGGGCAGAAACTAGAGAAGAACACATAGTTATACATATGTTGCTCTTTTGACTTGCAGTAGGCGCATGTTTTTCTCAAGAACCCGCTCCAGAATTGCCGACGCGTTGTCTATCTTTCTCCCACAGACTTCGATCCAGCTCGGAAGCAAAGACACTGCTGAATCGTTTTGCTGCAGGGACGGGAATACAAGCCTCAGCACACATGGGCACACACACCAAGAAGTCACAACCCGCTACTTCTTGATTGTCAATCAGACATCCCACCCATGTCACCACACAAAGCTTTGCTCAGATCAATTGCCTGACATTGGTTCCAAAGTTATTCAAACCCTTGAGTTCTTGAGATTGGAGAACACTTTGGGCGGACCCTGAACGACTTAAGATCAGTAGCTTGAAAGATCCAGAACTGTTGGCAGCCACGTCCTCAGGCTTCAGGCTAGCATCGGTGTCGCGGACCTTTGCAAGGAGAGCCTCACCCTTGTTGGTGATGCTGGGCAGGGAATCATCCAATAGAAGCGAATTGATATCCTGCGCCAAGACTTTTGCAGCTAGGCAACCCTCCCACCAAAGACTTAGAGGTGACTGTAACTTTAAACATATCTGGACGTCCGCTAGGAAATCTCCGGAGTGAGATTGTACACTTAGCAGTTGCTGTGTTGCTACAAGGTGGGTCCTCCAAAAGCATGCTGCCTTCTTGGCTCATATTTGTTCCCTCCTTTTCACAAAACCAAAGGTCTCATCCAGGATAAGTTTGGCTTCTTCTTCCCCATGTATCTCGTTCTTCCGCAACTTGTTGCGGTTTTGTGCCCACGTCCAGGCATTCTCGATCATGCTCCTAAGTCGAAAGGAGTCCCATAGCTCCCTATGGGACAACGCAATGCACACTAAACCACACAACCACATATACTACAATAATGCATGGAAGCTTCTTAGTCCATTTCCGAACGTCACGCAAATGTGCCTTTGTTACCCACGCACCATCTTTATTATGGGATTGGGTTTGGGACTTCCATCGGGCCAACCTCATCTCGACCTGCTTCATGCCACCCTCCTTCGCAAGAAGCTCCTTCAGTTTGGTACCTCAGCTATTCATAGTCCGAAAGGTATGATTTGTGCAGCACGTAAACACATGTCAAATCAACAAAGCATTCAGTGAGACATGTTACATGTTGGACTAGACACGACCTTCAGGAATCTTCCAAAGTTTCAAGACCTCTTCAGAACACGTCGCAGACTTGTTCTGAGGTTTGATATGGCGATAGCACCTGCAAAACACCACACGTGCAATCACCAAACAGTGGTTTCGTGTGGTAACCACATGCATGTTTATTATAACTTGTTTCGTGAGTCAAGCACCTCCACCACAGTGCATCCTTTACTTCTCTTGTTGCAGAGGTAGGTGACGCAGGTGGTTCCACCTCTAGTGCCTCCCCGTCCTTTGGGGGCCGCAGCTTCACCGACGACGGTTTGGGGATAGGACTAGGTGCAGGCACAGGCACCTCCTCGGGGCTAGCTTTGGCCTCTGGCACATAGAGAGTGGTTTCAGGCTCCGACTCAAAAGATTGTTGATCCCTCAAACCGGCCGACGGAGATAAACGTAAGGTTTTCTGTCTCAGCAATTGTTCTGTGCTCCTGCTCCGTTCAAGCTGGGGGGGTGAAACAGCTGCGGAAGTCCAAGGCCACTCGCGAGGCTGTGCGTCGTCTCCTGGGCTAACAGGGGGGCTTCGCCTGGTAGCCATCACAGAACATGGGATACTGCCAGATCGGTTGAATCGGTTCATTGGGGCCTTGCCAAGTTGTTCGCCACTTGACAAGCTCTCGACATGAGTTCCAGCTGCAAACGAACCAGTGTCAGGAACAGCAATGATCGGCGCACCTGCACAAGAGCCACAGGCAAACACCTCACCCCATTGGCGCCATGGGGTAGACTCTGAAACTTGTCAAAATGTTAACGATGCCCATAGTAGGTCCAGCCTCCAACAGTATCATCCAACTGTGTAGCAGGGTGCTGGGAAGAACTATCAAGCTCGGCAAGCTCGGCAGTCATAGCCGCAATCTTTTTTTTTCTTTGACTCCTGAGGTTTATAGCTAGAGAAGCGCTATGTATGCCCATGCAACATGATTTGCACGTGCACATGTTTAAATAATAATTCCAAATGCAACCATTATGCCTCCACCAAGGCATCAATATCCATGGACATGGTTTGCTCCCCAATGCACTTGGTAGATAGAAGCTCCGTGCCAGCCACCAATGATGCACAGGAGTGTGTGTGGATACCACTCATGCTAAACACGTGCGACTCGGGCCAAAGCTTTTCACATAGGTCCCCATTCTACGTCTAGAGTCTAGAATAAGTATTCCACCAAAAACGCGGTTTCCCAGTATGTGTTCACCCAACAAAACCCAACACGCAACACCAATCTGAAGTCTTTAGAGTCTAGATCCCTTCCATTGGACAAAAGAAGCAACAAAATCTTTAAAACAATCACTCATTGGAGCAGTTTCTGCTATTCTGGCGCAATTCCTTTGAAATCTTCCCAAAATTTTCAAGAACTGGTCGTTTTGTTTTGTTGTAGAAGTACAAACACGGGTCTATTTGATACACTTTCTGAAATTGCGCCCGGTTGCGCGGAATTGCGCTCGGGTAGCGGAAAATTGCGCTCGAGTTGCACTCCTCAAATTCTACCTTTTCTCCACCTGTGTAGCTGTATGTGTCCCCCAGAGCTCCGACAAATGAGAAAACGCTCGAGCTCCGACAATGTACTCCGACAATCTACGACATTGTCCGACATAGTCCTTTGGGCCGACTGCCAAAAGGCAAAAGATCGAATTACAAGGCTGGCACTAAGGCTGGCGTATCTACTGAACACGCGGCTTCAGAAAAGTTCTGGGCAAGACCTTTACCTTAGCCGCCATGTACGGCAAAGGGAACCCCTGTTCAACTGCACTTGCAGAAGTAAAGTCTATTGATATCCTAGATTCCTGGACATGAGATCTTCTCTGAACTCTTCCATGCATTGCTGCCACTCTTCCGGGATCCTGCCGGGCCCAAAAAAAGGATCGAGTTATGATATCACACTGTGAGTATTTCTGGGGCATGGTTATATTATGTTTACCTTCCATCAGGCAGCTGACAGCTACAAGAGGGAGTCCTGCAATGCTTTGATGTCCAAAGGTACTCGAATACATCCTTCATCAAAGCGTCGGTCCAGGTATCCCCTGTTTCCATGTTAGCAAACATCTCACGGTCGGTCAGGTTCTGGTCAAGAGGAATTCTAACCCGTAGATCCCTCTGCGGCGGAAGGAGCAGCTGCTTCCGGTACAAGTCTGCAAGGCAGGCACCGTAGTTAGCGGTGTATGACCTGGGAGATCGGTGCTCAACTGGGAAAGGGACCTGCTCTTGAATACAGGGAGACATGGAGGAGCGTGTCCGCGCTTTGAGGGTAGGCTCTTGAAATTTGAAGACCCTTTCCATGCATGCAGTCTTTAAAGTGCTTGCTAGCTGCTGTGTAGCTTTCAAGTCTTTCTTCCGGCCCTTGAATTTCCGGACTCCACTGGAATCAAAGTAGGTACCTCGAAAGCTCATTTTTGGGTTTCCTGCTGGGTTCCACTCTGAGACAGGTATGGCGTATGTTATAGCCAAGATACTGCTAGTACGGAATCCTTTCTTCTTCATTTTCTTTTTGTGTTTCTTGGTGAGTGGCCCCTTGTTAAGGCCATACATGGTATAAAGATTCCCAAAGACCATCGTTGGCTTCGGGCATGGCAGTCCAAAATGGTGCGTCCAGAATCGGCACTGAAAGACCTTGGAAACGGGGCGCATTGATTCAGGGGTTCTCAAGACAGGTCTAGCTGGACACACCAGTATAGCAATTGATCATTTATGAATTGACGCTTCGATTTTCAAGTTAACGATATTTAACCAAGGGGCAAATGCTACCCTGTTTGCCAACCATTGCCACCGTCTATGAAAGCACAGAAGACTCTGAGCTGGCTGCTCAACCAAATAATAACAGTTTTGGGATAAGCATACCAGAATTGCCAGAACCATCCTTAGCCCAGATCGGGCTGCGCTTGGAAACAGTTGCCCAGGAAGTGGAAAGGGTGCCCTAAGATTGAACGACGAGGAAACTGAATTCAACTATAACGAATTCGTTTATTCGAAGTCTTCGGGGGGTGTATCAACATCAAGAGTATGAAACGTAGATACTTTGTGCTGTAGAGGGTCCGTGCTACTGTAAGGTTTCCCTGTTTCACAAATTCATATTCTGTGAAGCCTTCAGGGTTTATGATACTCCGCATGCTGGTGCCACGGGCAGGAATGCCCCAGCTGGCACAACATGGTGCCCAATGGGAGAAGCCACTCATGCCCAAGTTCATCAGAGAGAACAGCACAAGCCTTAGGCGAAGCTTCTTGCAAAACGTCCCAATTGCACACACGCTTTGATAAAGCCCTAGATGAAGCAAAGAAACGCGAAGCCTGCAGGTTTTGTGAAGTCCATTGAACGGGATGAGTACGATAGATCGATGGATGCAACATTGAATCCCCGTTGGAACCTGGAAAGAGCGTGGCGTACATATATGCAAACAATAACATGCACGTGTTTTCACATGAACTGTTCAAAACACAGGCCCACCAGCTTTGGGATAGTTTGCCATCGCCAGAAAAGACCTCTACAAGCTGATAGGGCTCCACAGAAGGCAAGTTATCGCACCAGCTTAAGAGGAGGACCTGAGTGACCCTCCAACACCCCAGCATGCCAGCGCCTTGAAAAGCTGGTTAAGAAGCCAGGGCACAACTGCAATCAGCACCTGCACCACGCCGCTTTTTATCGATCTATATAATGCACTTGCAAGTCCTTTTGGTCACTATGAAAACAGCATACAGGATAATCCGATTAGTTCCAGTGAAGTTGATAGTAAGCCTTGCCTTCGGGGCCTGAACCTGAAGGAGGCTGGTTACCCTTGAGCGTGCCGTCATTGCGCCCAACCCGTCGCATCCCATCACGCTACACATTTGATCTTGCATGTTCGCAATCCAACACAAAATCTGACGTGCACACACAAACAAAGCGTAAGTGCCAATATCATAAATCAGCAAGCTTGCACACAGGAGGGGATGACCTGCTATTGCCGCGGAGATCCTCCAGCCTTCGACTCGCGGCATTTGGACATGAACTTGACCGGCAGCAATGATCATATGAGCAAATGACCTCAAACATTGCAGACATCCAGCGAAGCTGCGTAAGTTCATTTTCCATTCAAACGCAGGAGCGCGGCCACATCCTGAGGCGATCTAAGGCGTAGCTCCTGGCTTTCTTGATGTAGCACATGATTTGAGGGTTTCCCCAGATCAATGAAATCCCACAATGAGAGCGCATATTTGGCTCACTTGTTGGAGCCCCCTTGCACTCTCAACGGAGCTCTCCCCATCAAGCTGGTCAGTGTCAATGACATAAAAATGCATGAAATGAAAAGCTTTCTAGAAAGTATATAAATCTGAGAGCGAGCTCACGAACCCCTAAGGTTAAGTTGCCTGATCAGTCAGTTGCAGCATATGCCTTAAATGGAACAGAGCGCGCAAAACATTTGAATGCTACACACCCAAACTCAAGACTTATGCAAACAAAGAACCTTTTTACCCTCCTCTGCTGCCTCCTCATGGCTCTTGCCTGCATCTAGTGCTTCCTTCCTTGCCTTCTTGTACGCAACTGACTTCCTAGAAAGCCTCTTTTTCCTTTCCTTCACCTCATCCATCTCCTCTGTGCTGTCTGGCGGGTCAGTGGGTGCTTTGCTCTTTGCCTTGCTACCCTTCTCCTGCTTGCCCTTCCCCTTCTTGCCCGTCTCCTCCTTGCCCTTCTCCTCCTTGCCCTTCTCCTGCTTGCCCTTCTCCTGCTTGCCCATCGTCTCCTTGCCCTTTGCCTTCTCCTGCTTGCCCTTTGCCTCCTTGCCCTTCTCCTCCTTGCCCTTCTCCTTGCCCTTAGACCGTGACTTTGCTGCCTTCTTGGGGCTTGCCTTGGCATCAGGACCTGATGAAGATGCTGCCGAGCCTTTGCTATCTTTGCTGCTTGTTGGCTTGCTTGTCTTTGGGTGCGATGAAGGTTCTTCGGCAGCGGTTTTGATGCTCTCATCTGTGTGCTCCTCGGTATGGGTGTTCGTGGTCTTGTTTGCTTCGTTAGGTGCTGTTTTGCCTCTCTTGCGACGCGGCTGCTCCTTGGTTGTTTCTTCGATTTCTTCCTTGGCCTCAGTGTGTGCTTTGTGTGCTTTCTTCGGGCTTGATTTCGCTTTGGCCTTTGGCCGTGGTTTTGTGGATGCACGCGCCC